AATCTGATTTGAAATGAAGTTTCTAAGTGTAAGAAACAAAAGGTTCTCATGTCATTTTTCCCCTTTACTCTTTGCTGAATGCTGATCTAAAGGAGATCTTATGTATAACTGATGTCTTTGTTCATTACAATTCTTTAGCATTCTCACAAGGTGTTAACTTGGAATTTTAGAAAAACCTTAGAGGCTGTTTGTAAAAGCCTGTTCTCCTTACTTGTAAGTGTTCCAAGTTGGTCTTGGAGTTAACTGAAAATACAGGCTTTTTAATACAATTGGTAATACAACCTGATTGTTAAAGTTTATTGCCAAGAAATGATATACAATTGTGTGTTTCTCCTGATTTCTTTAGGCCTTCAAATCCCATTATAGTTGATAATTTCATTTCCTGAAGCAGAATAAGTGTATTTTAACACTAGAGTAGTAATTTTGTTTAAGTACTATTTAGTCAATCATATTTCTAATTTAACTCTTGGCTAATTTTATGCTTTAGTATGTCATTGAGTAAAGTGTACTCACTTTCCTAGTCAGTTAATTACCTGGGAAAGATAGAATAAGAATTACATTCTACTGATTATTGCTGCATATACTATAAAAGTATTTTCTTTGCATAGTAGTCTATAGAATCTGCATGCTTTAAGCATTGATTTTAATTTCAGAATGATAGATCTCTTTACACTAAAGTATGCCATCTTGAACTGGCAGAGTTCATGCCAGGCAGTTATAAACCTGGACAACCTAGTACTCCAGATATTATTCTGCTTCTCTCTCAGAAACAAAATTTTATGTGTTTGTACCTGAGTAGAGTACACAAATCTATTAAAAGCATTTCCTTTACTCTCCTCTGTCAAGAGGGAGCAGAATAGGCACTTAATTTTCAAATGGTTCATTTTAAATTTTCAGATTAGAAATGATGTGTTACTTTTTACTATTATAATAATAATATTCAGAGCTTACTGTGTTTCCGGCACTATCCTAATCCTTTTTTGTCTTTTGGTTTTGGGTTTTTTTTTTTTTTTTTTTTTTTTTTTGTAGAGAGGGTTTCACCATGTTGACCAGGTGGTCTCAAACTCCTGGCCTCAAGTGATCCTCCCGCCTCAGCCTCCCTAAAATGTTGAGGTGACAGGCGTGAGCCACCTCACCCAGCCCTTATCCTAATTTTCACAGCTGTCATGTCAGTGGTATTATCTATTTTATAGATCAAAAAACAGAGGGATCAGACTTACCCTATGCCATGCACCTAGGCCTAGGAAGAAGTCAGGTGGCCTCACTCCAAACTAATGTTCTTAACCATTTCGTGATTGGTTCTCAGATATGGCTGTGCTTCAGGTGCACTTGGGAGCTTTACCCCCACCTCCCCACCCCAAGGCAATGCTTGGCTCCTCCCCAGACTAATTAAATCAGAATCTTTCAGGAATGAGATCTAGACATTGATCTTTTTAAAACAACTGGTAAGTCTAATGTGAAAGAAACTCTGGTTAGAACCACTATTCTATTATTGCTTGTTTTAGAATTTATTTTACTTAATTTGATAAAGTAGTGTGATAGAGATAATGCACATCTATGGACTTAGGGCTAGAATAGAACCATGGCAGAGATTTTACATACTACCTGCATAAATGAATCAACCTTTATATATGTGATATATATTTTTTTGAGATGGGGTCTCACTGTCACCCAGGCTGAAGTGCAGTGGTATGACCAAATGTATAATTTTGTGTACAAGAATTGTGGGCCCAACAATATACCAGATATAATAAAAGAAGAAATTCAGAAAACTCAAGCTATACAAGTACATGTAGTTTAATGAATATTATTTCTATATGAAATTCCAAACTTTAATAACTTCTCTAATTCTTATAAGCTTTAATTCATTATCATTGAATGTTTAAAAGTATTTGATAAGCTACTTGTATTTTAATGGTAAATGTGGTGCAAATGCATATGTATGATCTGTTATAAAACAGCAATCACATTTTTCTATATTCTTGATTTTCAGAGTTGAGTGATTGTTATATATAAAAATGAGACGTGAATATAGAAATATGTAAATATATTCACTGCATTTAATTTTATTGACATTGGCTATGATGTTAAAAGTAATAAAGTAACATTTAACCTAATCTCAATTGTATTTCTAGTTATGATCCTATATTATTCTCTGAGATACCAGAATGAGAAAACTTACCATTACTGGTAAACAAAAGAGACCGAATTAAGATTACCATGAGACTTCTCATCTTGAATCTCCTGAGCAGGCATATTTATACTTATAATGTTCTGTTATTGAAATGTGGCTATTAAATTCAACACAGAGGTTTAAATGAATAGTAATATTTTATACATTCAAGTCTGGAATGAGTAGCATAGGTTGGTCATATGGGTTGTTTTTAAAGCATGCCACTTTGTAAGGCAAGAAAAAATATATATGTAAAATATGTCATCTTTGTATGTTAGAACTATTAAAGAGAAATCACAGAATTTTAGAGTTCATGAATGGCAGTTCCTTTAATTATATAGAAATCCGGAGAGGTGATTGTATTCCAGGTAACATAGAACTATACAATAAGAGCTAAAGCCCCAGACTAGATGTCTGCATTCCCTGACCCCTCTTTACAGTCTCTCCAATTGCGTACTTAACCTGAAGGAAAAACTCCAGATTTAGCAAATATTTGTTTATAGTCTCAAAATTTTTCTTTCAAGCTTTGCCTTTCCAGACCACCTAATATTAAATACATAATTTAAAAAAACAATTTTTATTGAAAAGGCAGAAAGATATAATAACACTGAGTACTGTCTGTCTAGGATAGCAGTATATAAAAAGCAGAATATGTTTAAGAGGGTAAAACTCTGTTAAAAAATTCACTTACAGCCTCTGAAATCAGAAATATTTTAAAAAGAAAATTACTTCATTCTAGATTAACAGGAAGATAATCAGTTTTGCAGATAGATTATCCAACTCACATCTAGCCTTCAGTTATGAGAAAGTCCTTTGAAACCATCAGTAAAATAGTGAGAGAAAGAAAGTGATAGGCCTGATGATGTAGTAAGAAAAAGAACACAGAAGACTAACTGTGGCCAAGATGACTTTCCTTACGTGATAACGGGTGGATCCTTAACTGCTGACATGACTGCTGATGGCATCAAGCCCATGGTTTGAGGCTGATGCTGCTTGTGCCCTGTAGGCTAAGTTATGTCCAGCGGTAATCTCCATGGAGGCATCTCATGCCATATCTACTTGTATTTTTTTAATTTTATTTTTTAAATTTCTGTGGATACATAGTAGGCGTATATATTTATGGGGTACATGAGATGTTTTGATACACGTATGTAGTGTGAAATACACACATCGTGAAGAATGGGATATCTATCCTACTTAACTTGTATTTTTGATCTCATATATTTCCTTTGCCTGGTTTGTTGATGTTTGCATAGTAAGGTAAGGTCAAGCCATATTTTTTATATTACACCAAATTTGAGGTATTTTTTATTTTTATTTTTTAATCATGGACCAGTCTTGTCTAGCCTAGCTTAAATAGAGCAGCAAATTCAGACCTCCAATCAGGCTAGTTATGCTTTGTATCAGGCTAAGAGAGAGAATCCTATTCCTCCTCCTCCTCCTCCCTCCCATTTGTTCATGCAAGATATAGGATAAATATTAAACTTAAGAAAATTCTCAAATCTGAATATATGAAGTATATGAAAAAACCAAATTTCATTCTTGAGACTTAATTTTTTCCAAGAGGCTGTTTGGTGCCTACTCTGTAGGATCATGCATAATAATAATAGAGAAACTGTGTGGTTTTCTAGCTTCCCAATAGTGTAACCTTATTATTTTGCAGACAGTGGTTTCCCAGCCAGAAATATAAGCATAAATCGGCATTCACAAGACTAACAAGTATTAGTGTGCATCAAGGGCCTTCTTCCTAAGTGTGTATTATAACTTCATTAATGATGACAAAACATTCTTATTACTCAGTTTCTGAATATTGGACTGTGTCCTGTATTCTACACTAAAGCAACTTACCAAAATTGTGACGAACATAATTATGATACTGGTGCTGTCTTTCAAATAGATGAAAATAATACATTTCAATAGATCATGTGCTTAGTATTTTAGCAGTGGGGATTGGTTTGCATTGTCAGAATTTGTTTAAATAGGACTATTGTATACAAACATGTTACTGACTTTACAGCTTGGCATCTTACAAAAATAATGACACATTTTAGTGGATTTGAATTTCCAAAATCTCTTGCCAGGTAGGAAAGGGAGAAATTGCTTATGGGTTTTATGGCTTTTCATGAATAGACCATTTTCTTTTTGGCCAAAAATATGAGGAAAACGTGTTAGGTAGAGATGTTTGGAGATGTCTCATGTCTTCTAGTAGCAAAAATATAAATTCTGCTGAAAAAGCCCTTTTATTATAAACATTTTAACGGTAAAATTCTGAGCAAATTATGTTTTTTATGCTGGGTAGGTAGAAAGAGACATTTTATAAAGCTTTTTTCCCCTGTGTACGTGTTATTCATGATATTTAGCAAAAATAACTTTTCTGCTAAGAACTTTTGTAATGAATATTACTCATTTTTGTTAAATTGGTTGGGCAGTGAGAAGGCATGTAGAGAACCCTGTATCATTATAATCTGTTTTATTCTTCTGTATGACTTAAGCACATTGTCCCGTCAGTTGCATTCTTGAAATACATAATAAATAACATATTTGTTTTCAGGATTACAGCTCTGTTGTATTCAAAGTGCAGTTTTCTGGACCAAAATACCCTTCTTTTTATGTTCTGTGGTATGGCAGATTACTGTTGCATTGAAGTTTTTATTTAGAAGAAATGTACTACACAGGGTATAAGAAATAGCTTTGCAATAAAGGAGACTGTGGTCAAAGCATAGGGGCAGTAGTGGATAAATTGTGCAAAAGGCTGTTTGTTTGGAAATCAAATTTAATTTAAAAGAGCTTTCAATCACTAGTTAATATAACTGCTTTAAATTTACAGACAGTGGGAGTAGCTCACCGTTACCCAAGTATGCTTCATCTCCCAAACCAAACAACAGCTACATGTTCAAACGGGAGCCCCCAGAGGGATGTGAGCGAGTGAAGGTCTTTGAGGAAATGGCGTAAGTAATGTCTTTTCTGTCAGCTGGGATCTGCAAAGCTGTAAAGCTTTTTACTGAGACCAGTTGATTACATATGAATCAACTACTCTATCCAGCTGATAATGTGTTTCAAAAGCAAATTATGTAAAGAGAATTGAATAGGCAAGAGAGATCTTACTGAAGGAGAATTGGAGTCTGTATGCTGGAAATGTATAAGCCAATACGAAGAAACTTGGAAACTTATTCTTACTACCTGAAAGATCTATTTTTAATCATTAAGAATTGTCATTTCAAGAACTCTTAATTTAGATGGCTAACAAAGAGACTTTAGGAGCAAAGTTAATATCTATGTGTGACTAGCTTAAAGACAGTGTACTCCACAAGCCGGAAGGAGATTAGTCTCCTTCCCTATAGCTGCCCTATAGCCGCATCTAGCTTGCTTATTCAGACTTTCTGTTCACAAGGGGTTTTCTTAATGAAATTTTAATATGTGTAAGTTAGAAATGAAATTAGAAAAAGAGGTTCATGCTGTAAACACTGGGCAGAGTGGCTCAGAAGACTGTGTGGTTCTTGGATGCACTCATGCCTTTGTTCCAGTGCAGGTGCCTAGTGGAGGGTGCAGTGCTCTTGCAATCTGGAAGGACCCATCTTGCAGGAGCTGATGGCTTAGCTCCTGGGAACAGGAGGAGAGGAAGGGCTTGTGGACCCAACCTCTGTTGAACTGACTGGCTTTTTGAGAGACCACTGAAACTCTCCCCTCCCCACTCCACCCCCCATCTGTGCTAGTGGAGGTCTATCTAGAAAGAAAAAAGGAGGAAGTGTTTAAAACTAAATACATGATGGACTAATGCCCCCTGCCTCCGGTGTACTTTTTCTTAACAGAAAAGGTCATTCTAACTTTACATAATCTTCAGTTATAATATAGCAAACTTTTTCTACCTTCCTAAATGATTAAAAGCAAACTAATGATCTCTATTTGTCTTCCTGGTTCTTTTGAAAATCCTTTTGTCTCAAATACCACTTCCATGCTGTGTGCATGAATAGTCTGCCAACTGACTTGTGCTATGGAAGATGTTTATCCCTCTGTATACACTTAACCCATCTCCTGCCATTTACATTTTAGCTGTTTTAGAGAACTCCAGTTAATTCAGAAAATGCTTAACTTGTTCTGTGTTCGTGATTATAAATCTAATTTTGTTTTATGGTTTTAGGTCTCGTCAGCCTATCTCGGCCCCTCTCTTTTCATGTCCTGACAAAAACAAGGTTAATTTCATCCCAACCGGATCAGCTTTCTGTCCTGTAAAACTTCTAGGCCCCCTCTTACCTGCTTCTGACCTTATGCTCAAGAACTCTCCTAACTCTGGCCAGAGCTCAGCTTTGGCAGCTCTGACCGTTGAGCAGCTCTCATCCCGGGTTTCATTTACATCTCTTTCCGATGACACCAGCACAGCGGGCTCCATGGAGGCCTCTGCCCAGCAGCCATCCCAGCAGCAGCAGCTTCTGCAGGAACTGCAGGGTGAGGACCACATCTCTGCTCAGAACTATGTGATCATCTAAAAAAGGGGGAGCTGGCCTCCACCCTGTGTTCCATGGATTAGGAACAAGATTTCAGACATCTATCTGCATGGAGTGACAAACTTTCTGAACACCACCACCACCACCACCACCACCACCAATACTTATCAGCATCATAAAGTATCTCTTAAACACTGATCTTGGCAGGGACGGAACTCCTATTCAGCAGTTTTTGTGGAAAGCAGTAATGCTTGCAAAATGTGTGCGTCATTCAGCATTTTAAGTGGAGACTATGCATTTCATAGTATGTTTGACAGATTAGTACTGTGTCCTGTGTTTTGTTCCAGATTCTTCAGTATAAATAAGCTCTATATCAAAAAGTTGCCTGTCTAAATAGAAAATGTCTTGCTGTGTTTTGTCCTATGGAAAATACTGTACTTCAGGATTATGTTTACAATTGATCCAGGTGTTTGTTTCTAACTTCTGTAATACATACAATGCAAAAAAAAAAAAAAAAATGGCCACAACAGTTGCACAGTGCCCACCCTATGGCCTAGCTTCAGGTACTTCAGTTGAAGTCTAAACTCAGGTAACTTGGAATGTATATCATATTGGGATATTAAATATTTCACAGCTAAAAAGCTAAAGAGGGAACATCACTCTTTTGCCTTTCCTTATTTTATGCATTTCCCTTTCCTCATTACATTCCACATTCTTAGAATAAGAAGTGCATTCAATCCTAGGAGAATGATAATCCTGGACATGGGTGAACATGAGGAGAACCAGCAAAATCTGTGGTGTTTGACATCACTTATGTCATGTGGTTACAAGTAAAACAACTGTTGCATTCACTGTTTCAACATGTGTACATGTGGCTTTTTTAAAAGTTCAGGTGTTGCTCAGTAAAGGACTGTTACAATGTTGCAAATAAAATGTTCAGTACTAGACTGTACATAAACATTCCGCATTGTGATGAAATTTAAAGACAGGAATGTCTAGAGTTAATTTCAAAATAAGTGAAGTGTTTGACTGAGTGGTTGAGATTTTTTTTTGTTTATGTTAGCCATCAGGGTCATAACTGTTACCATTTTATCTAAAGACATATTTATGTTTAGTTTCTCCCTTGGAAATTATTTTGCAGGTGAAAAAGTGACATACTTTTGGTTATTGTTTTCCTCAAGCAGTTTAGGTGCATGATCTTCATTTACATAGAATACTTGGGTCTCAGAATTGTTGCAACATAAATAAGCAGGTTTTTTGGTGACTTACAAGAGCAATAGTTTGAAGCTATCTCATTTAGGCCTCTCATAATACATAATCATGAATAGTTTTGAAATTTGCGACACGTGAAGTAGAGCAGAAACTCAAGAAAATAGCCTTTAACTTGCAAACTTTTGACGCAAGTTCTCCACAAAGTATGAAGAGAGCCCTAGGCATTCCTGATTGGTCAGTGGGAAAGCCTAACTTTTCATTGTTTTCTTCAGTACAAAGAATATCCAAAAGCGAAGTTTTTGTATTTGTATTTCACTACTTTCAATTCAATAAAACCTAGAGTTGTTTCATCTGCACCTAAAGTGTATGGCACAATTTTCTTAAGAATTAGGGGAACAATGTGCCTACAGTTAAAGGAACGTTTCAGTTCCCTTCATTCATTCCTGGGTTTTTCTTTGCTTATTTTCTAAGACGGTTGAAGAAGGATGAGTCTATAGAAAGCAACACCATTGATTTTTTTTTTAAGAAATGATATATATATGTATATGTTTGTGTGTGTGCGTGTGTATTCTGTGTATTATTTTGTCATGATCTCAATTCTCTTCTTTCCACCAAAGTTTGCCGTAATATTTTCTCCTGAAGGTGCATTCTGGCTCCTTTAAATTAGTCAGTGTTATATTGTAGGAGACTGTCATGGAAAAAAGGACTCAGTTTACTTTTGTCATTTTCACAGGGGAACCTTTTAAAACAATCTTTTCAGCAGCAGATACCTTTAACCCTAGTAATCTCAGGCCTTGATGAAAATACTCTATTTTGTAGATTATGGTTAAAGGGAGAAAATTACTAGTTCTGTAAGATAAATATGAGCTCCATTTAACTTCTGATATCTGGTTTAGCATTACATAATATGTTGATCTTACACTCTGCTTTTGTCCAAATAAAATGCAATAGTATCAATATCAATTTCAGAAAAATGGACTGAATATGCTTTCTTGGTGATTAAATCTGATGTACGATATTTATAGTGATGTGCTTTTATTTTCTCATGAGATACTAAATATTAATTGTGTTGTACATTTGTTCTTAGCATATATTAAAGTTTTGAACCAAATGTGTTAAAGCTTACGCTTTGCCATGTAAATTTCCCAGAAGTTGTTGAGCTCAAATGTATCCTACATCCAGCTGTAGAAATTTGTCAGGAATTGTTTAAATTTTGTATATAATTGTACTGTTTAATTCTAGCCATTGCGCTGAACAGTATTTGAGTTACCATACAATATGGCTTTACACAAGGAAATGTGTGGCTTTTGTTTTGTATTTTTTCAGTATAGAAGTTCTTGTGTCTTATTTAAATAAAGTTATTAGTAAAACTGGAATAGTTCACACATGTTTTTGGAAAGAATGGGGTTGTTAGCTCATTACCCGACAGAGATAAATTTGGCTCGGGGTAATGGCAGTTTTCCATACTCATTGAGTTCCTGACCTGCATCTCTGGAGGTGTGGGGTGTCTAACTGGATCAGATTTCTACAACCTGACTTCCTCTTGGCATTTAACTTACACACTCTACATCACAAGGTGAGAAGCTAGAGGTCTTAAGTTCCAAGTCTTTGTACTGTTCCCAGGTATGATCACTTTAAATAGAGAAAACATTGTTCTCACATCACTTTATACCTCAGAATTTATATAAATGAGTTTAAATTCAATGAAATGATTTCAAAGGAAGTTGCCTATTTCTTGCAAGCAAAGCTGCAGTAATAAAATTAATTTTTTACTTTTTTGTTTAGATTCATAATAAGATGGAGAAAAGCTTTACAAAACAAAAGAGTGTTGACATTATACCCGGTTATCCAGACATGGATATGGTCTGGTAGGCCATATGGTAGCGTGAAAACAAGAACAAACCACTCTGAGAAATAATTTATCAGCAGAGTGTTACTCACTTCCAAAGCACATCTCAAAGAGATAAGATTTGATCTTTAAATTGAACTTAAAAGTGACCAGTAGCTGTGGTTTTGGCTGAGAAAAATAAAACATAACTTTTTAAATGGTGGGATGTATCAGCCATGTATATGTTATTTAGGCAGGAAATTATCTACCTTATACAATTTTAAATTTCCATTGCAAGTGAATTCATGTGAAGGAAAGTGGAATTCCCAGCCCTGTCTTCTTGACTCAATCATATAATAAGTAATATAAACAGCCCTGAGAAGTTAATACAGTATTTGCAAAATCAGACCTCAGGAACAAGGAATGGAATATTAGGCCTAAGAACTTGCATGTTGTAACCCTATGCTAAGTTTATTTATGAATATTGCAAACTGAGGGGTTACTCCCATCCCTCATCCCCCATCCCACAGTGTAAGGTCACATCTAGCTCTGAAGTTTCATTGTCCCCTATATATTCCCTACCTCTCTCTGGGAAGCTTCTGACGTCTACCCTGTTCTCTGATAGGCACAAGTCTTGATTTCCTCCTGTACACTCACTCTTGGTGAACTCATGGTTCTTTGGAGCTGTAGGAGCCTTACTAAGATGGATCCCCTAATTCACATGTTGATTCAAAATCCCACTGCTGTAGTTCCAATTGTTTAGAGAACATCTCCTCTCAGACTTCTTTCCTTATCTCAACCTTAGTGATTCAGTGGAATACACAGTCTTACCCCCTGTTGGACCAAGCCAGCTCTCCTTTACATTCTTATTTCCAAAGATAAGGACTGTCTGTGTCCTGAGGTTTTCTCCACCTAAATCTCTCAGATTTGTTTTTCTGTCTTCCTATTATCTGACCACTAAATTTTGAGGTGCAGTGACTGACATATGATGGTGGGAGATCAGAGAGCCATGACATCTTAGATGAATTTCTGTCAAGACTGTAATAGCAAGGAACCAAAGTCACTGTGTATGCTAGACTTCCAGGGCCAAACTACTGCTCCTGGACCAAATCCATCCTGCTGCCTGTTTGTGTAAAGTGTTCCTGAACAAAGCCACACTCATTTATTTACAGATTGCCTATAGCTATTTTGCAGTACAATGGCACTGTTCAATAGTTGCAACAGAGTCTGGCCCACGATGCCTCAAATATTTACTTTCTGGTTCTTTGCTGACCTCTGCTGTACACCAAAGAGCAGACTGGAGACTAGGTGTAGGTAACTTGTATCATATATGTAGTTGGGGTTTTTTTGTTTTGCTTTGTTTTTTTGTTTTGTTTTAGTCAGAGCCTCACTCTGTTGCCCAGGCTGGAGTGCAGTGGTGCAGTGTCGGCTAACTGCAACCTCCGCCTCCTGGGTTCACGCCATTCTCCTGCCTCAGCCTCCCAAGTAGCTGGGATTACAGACGCCTGCCACTATGCCAGGCTAATTTTTTGTATTTTTAGTAGAGACAGGGTTTCACCATGTTGGCCAGGCTGGTCTTGAACTCCTGACCTCCTGATCTGCCTGCCTCGGCCTCCCGAAGTGCTGGGATTACAGGCATAAGCCACCGCGCCTGGCCTATGTAGTTGTTTTAAAAATTTGTCCATAGATTATTTTATACTCCTCCCTTCAAAAGGTAGAGCTTAATTTTCCTCTCAAGTGTGGGCTAGATTTGCTTCTTATGAACAGAATACTGCAGAAGTAATGGGAAGTTACTTCTAAAAACAGGTTATAAAAAGACTGGCTTTGTCTTGGTACTTGTTCTGTTGGATCACTTACTTTGGGAGAAGCTATGTAGGGAGGATACTGAGAAAGTTTATGGTGGGACCCTATGGTGAGGTTATGGAGGCCCCTGACCTCCTGCCAAAAACCACAAGGAAGCAGATCCTTCAGCTCCAGCAAAGCCTTGAGATGACTACAACCTCATGAGACACCTTCAGCCAGAAACCACTCAGATAAACTGCCCCTGGGTACTTGACCCTCAGAAACTGTGTCAAATAAGAATTTTTTTGTTATTTTAAGGTGATAAGTTTTGGGGTAATTTGTTACATGGGGTTAGAGAACTAATACCACAGCCCTCTCTTTCCCCCATACATATCCCATTATTTCCACCATCACCTAGAGCCTTGCCGTATAAGTCTGTCCTCCTCTGGGTCCAGAAAATGAAGCTTGCTCTTTTGGAATGGACACTGCTTGATGAAGCCCTTTTGGACTAGGTCTAAGACAAAGCTTTCTCACATACAATTTTGTTTTTTGAACAGTTTGCATGTTAGAAAAGGATTTCTTGTGGAAAATGATGCAAGAAGGAGCAGGATAGGTGATGAGTTTTTAAAGCTGAAAAGAATAAAAGGCAGAATTTCTCAAGAAAATGAGGAATATCTCCACCTCATGTCTTTCTTTTAGTTAATAGGAGGCTGGTGACCCACTGGTTCTAAAATGACCTGTCTCATTCCATATGTATCTCTCAAAGAGAAGAGTAAAAATAATTTTTTTTTCCCAAAGGCTTTAGATCAGTTTGGTGATGGGCTCTCTCCTTCATAACAGCCATTTTCTTAACACTAAGAATTTGAACAATTAGATCATTTTTCCTCCAAAAGATTTCCTGATAACAAGGAGTAGATCCCCTTTCACACACCACAAATTCTACTCAAGTCTTGGCATCTGCTTTAAGCATGACATTGATGACATTCCCTTAGTCAGAATTGGGCATGACTCTGCAGGCAATGGATGTTATTTCAAACCACTGTCTGGAAGCAAGATGGATAAAGGTGGGTATAGGGCTCCACAAGGACCTGCCAAGTGAGGAGAAGGGTTCGTGCTGGAAAAGCAAAAGCAAAACTTTTCTTAGGCTTTCTTTTCCACTTTTTTGTAAAGGAAACAGGTTATACTCAAGGGACAGGACTTAACAAAGGACACTGCTCATGTGCTGCAACAAACGGCCTGCCATTTTTCTTGTGGACTGTAATTGAGGCAGACAGGGTAATCTTAGCTGACTCTCTGTTCACCTGCCCATTTGATTCCAGACAAACACCTAGTGTGGTTTCTCTCTTCTGCTTCCCTTCCCAATGACCACCCTGCAGCAAGCCCTGGGAGCTTTGTATGAAGAAGCTATTCCTTTTCAGATCCCTAACCCTTTCTCCTGATTGCTCCTCCAAATCCATGGCCAGTGAAGCAAGTCCTGTGAAGACAATAAGGATGTGGGAGGAAAAGGCTGAAGATGGTGACACTGGGGAATAGGAACTGGTAAGTGAGGGAAGGAGAGTGTTGAGGTGAGCTTTCATCATATTCATATACCCTTTTGAAATATTTGATTTTTTTTCTTAAAATGAGGGTGTATTCTTTTTGTAATGTTTGGTGAAAGATAAGGAAACAACATGACCATTCTGCAGAACTGTAAACACCCCTGTTCCCTCTGCTGGTTCCACCTTCTGCCCATCCATTTATCATCCAATTTGCAGCAGAAAGTGCATATAACTTAGCTGACTGCTTTATATGTGACTAATGTAAAAGAAAGGTGAAATTCAAAGGAAGTGATTAACATGAAAATAAATGTTTAAAAATGTTAACATTAAATAATGTAATTTAATGTTAAAAATGTTGAACAAATGTTTGGAAAGGAATGTGCCAGTGTATCCTTCTAATGGCAGATATAAGAGTGTATCTCCAGCCTCCTTTAGCACTGTAACATTTTTAACATTAAATTACATTAAATAATGTAACTGAAGCAATACAAATTAAAACAATTAGGCAGGGCACAGTGGCTCATGCCTGTAATCCCAACACTTTGGGAGACCAAGACGGGCAAATCACTTGAGGTCAGGAGTTCGAGATCAGCCTGGTCAACGTGATGAAACCCTGTCTCTACTAAAAATACAAAAATTAGCTGGGTGTGGTGGCTCACGCCTGTAGTCCCAGCTACTCGGGAGGCTTGGGCAGGAGAACTGCTTGAACCTGGGAGGCGGAGGTTGCAGTGAGCCAAGATTATGCCATTGCACTCCAGCCTGAGCAACAGAGTGAGACTCCGTCTCAAAAAAACAAACAAAAACCAACAATTTATTGCTTTTAAATTGGCAAAGAACAAAAAAGGAAGGATAGTAGTGCTAAAGGAGGCTGGAGATACACTCATATCTGCCATTAGAAGGATACACTGGCACATCCTTTCTGAATAAGTGGGGCAGTATTTATGCCAAGTGGCAAAACAACAGGTCACAAACCAGTGTGATCCCTTTGTTTTGTAAAAATACATATATGTGTGGGTAAAAAAACAAAAAAAAAAGGATGAATGTAAACAAAAATAATAGTAGTGGTTATGGGCCAGGTGCAGTAGCTCACTCCAGGAGACCTAGCTACTTGGGAGGCTGAGGCAGGAGGACCGCTTGAGCTGAGTTTAAGGCTACACTCCAGCTTGGCTAACAGAGTGAGATCCTGCCTCAAAAAAAAAAAAAAAAAAAAAAAAAGAATTATGGG